AAGCTTTGGATCCATGTCATTTGTATTAAAATGGATGCAACCAAATCACTGCAATTATACTGGTCCTTCAAGCTGTTTTAACCACCATTTACTGTATTTCTGAAGTGCCTCCCTGAGTATCAGTTGTAGAAGGATATCAGAGATGCTTTGATTCCTATGCCTGGACCAATGATAACAAACACTCATCCATATTCAGGAAGATTGGCCTTGGTCACCTGGTGTATCAAAAAGTCCTATTTAATCAAATCATGGAGTTGGAAGGGACTCCAAGGGTCATTTAGTCCAACCTCCTGCAATGCAAGAATCTCAGCATGTGGTCCCCCTTAACAATTTGAAACCTGCTTATCTTTTGCAAAGGGGACACAGGTGGCGCTGTGGGTTAAACCACAGAGCCTAGGACTTGCTGATCAGAAGGTCAGTGGTTCGAATCCCCACGACGGGGTGAGCTCCCATTGCTCGGTCCCTGCTCCTGCCAACCTAGCAGTTCGAAAGCACGTCAAAGTGCAAGTAGATAAAGAGGTAACACTCCGGCAGGAAGGTAAACAGCATTTCCGTGCACTGCTCTGGTTCACCAGAAGTGGCTTAGTCATGCTGGCCACATGACCCGGAAGCTGTACGCCGGCTCCCTTGGTCAATAAAGCGAGATGAGCGCCGCAACCCCAGAGTCATCCGCGACTGGACCTAATGGTCAGGAGTCCCTTTACCTTTACCTTTACCTTTACTATCTTTTGCAAGTGTGCCAGCTGTTTTGTTGCTGCACCACTATGGGAATATGGGGTATGGGGTGTTAGGGAAGACCAAGGGCCATATTCAACTTACTGGTCCCACCACTGAAAGCCCATGCAAGGACTACGGCTAGTGCAGTGGGGCTTTCCTCCCAAATTGCACGAGTTGCTGGGATAATTCCCAGAACAGCACATGCGGCTGGAGAGGGCACATTGTTCCACCGGGCAGGCAGAAATGTTTGGGTTGCTGGAGTGATCCACCTAGCACTATGTTGAATTCCTCCTGAAGCAAATATGTAGTTAGGTAAAAATAATAATGATCACCATCATGGAATATTCCAGCCTCTGGTTGTATTTAGCTCTTCAAGGTTTAGTACACCACATATTTTGGAAAAAATTCTCAAGCACCCTATGAATCTGTTGTTTATAGTCTTCCTTTCATTGATTCCATGATTCAAGAACACAGTATCTTTCATTATTCCCCTATACTCACAGTTTGTTTACTTCGTGTGATTCCAAAGGATGCAGTTGTGTCCAGACTCCTGTGGGCTTAGAAAATAAGCCAAATAACAAAGGACTATCTTGCATCTAGTAACATGTGGCTAAAAGCAGATAACATTGACAGTATAACTTGTTTGCCTCAGAACAATGAAGCCACACTTCAGTGGTGTGCAGCCAACCTAAATACCTCTGAATAATGGAGAATTTGTTATTATCCCGTCAGTCAAAAACTCTTATTAGACATGGAGATGATGTCATATCACTGCATAAAAAGCATGAGCAAGATAAACAACATGTATAAACACTAAGTAAACAAATAAATCTCAGTTACTCTGTAGACCATTTTATGACTTTCCAGCGCTCTCTCTAAGAACTAAGAAAGGTGTTTTTGTGCTAAACCTAGAACTTGCTTATGACTGATTCATACCAGCCTGCCCTTCTCATAAGATTTTCTAGAGAGGTCCTTATTCAACTACGCAGCTGAGGTATACTGTGCCTTGACAAATATTTATTTCATGGTGGCACAAAATTAGAATGCTCTCCTTAAGGAGGCTGGTCAAGCAGGCCCATTATAAGCTTTTTGGTGTCACATGAAGACCTGCCTATTTGCTCAAGCATTTTAGGGCACTTCCAGACTGTTGCGATTTATGGGTGGGACTCAGTCACATAATGTCAAATTCATGTAGTGCAATTATAGTTGATTGTGAGGGGGTGTTGTGTAGCAACCCACCTCGGCAAAAGATTGATGAGGAAGGCAGTGGGAAAATACATTGAAAAGTGAGAGATAACACATAACAGATGCAATGTCATCTAACCTCCCTGCAGACAAATCAGAATGAATGCTCAATAAACAGGTCTTCTGGCCTTAGATTATAGATGTGTTTTGCAATTTTTGATTTTTGGTTCATTTTTATGTGTCTTTATTGTGCTTATTTGTTGGCTTTAAATTTCTATGCTGTGTTAATTTTATCTGCACTTATTGTACAGCACCCTAGATTTGTTCATGAAGTACAGCTGATAAATACTCAAAACAAATAGTAAATAAATAAAATGAATCCTAAGCAGATTGTGCCTTCAGTACAAACCTACCACCGTCCTTATTTTCACATGTGTAACAACCTGAATAACTCACATCACCATGACGGTTTAATAATTCTGAATGTATGGTGTGTTACTTTTAATGGAACCAGACTCTTCCTCATAACTTCTGCAGGTGCTTCATGACTTTAATGTCAAAATACATCTCATGCCTTCATTTGCCATACTAATATACTATCAATTATCAAACAGAGGAAAGGGAAACACAACCCAGCTGTATCCCCCCTCAATGACATTTCCAATTTCTTCTTCTCCATTTACCGCAATATTTTTGTGCCTAGAGTTTCAAAACACTCACTTGTTCTCGTTTTTAACTCTGGGGTTCAATTATGCATTTCCCAGTTCACCTTGATAGTCTCTGCTCTTGAGCCATGCACGAGGATGAGAAGGTGTTGCCTTGACATGGGCTTACTTGGAGAGTCAATGCCTGAAAGAACTGCAGAATTCTGAAGCAAGCAGCAGCTCATTGATGTCATCAGGCACCTTATCCTGATTTCTGATTGGATAAAGCACTTGATGATGATGATAAAGCTTATTGAAAGAACTGCCAAATACCAAAATACATTAATCCAGTAATTTTCCCCAGTGCTGCTTCAATGGTCATTTAGACACAAAAGGAAATGCCAATGCCTATAGGCTTAAAGGCAATACAGTTTGTTTTCTAAGCAACTTAGGGACATCTAATGCAACCGGGATCTTGTAGACTCTTAAGAAGTGAGTGTTTGACACTGCTGTATTTTTCCTGATCTCACATGTACAGAGAAGGATATTAAACCATAAATAGCTCTTACTTTTCTATTGATTTTTTAAGGTAGACTCTCTGATATAGACTCCTTTCTTAATTTAAGTGTTTAATGGTAGAGCTGAGGATGTTTGGATAAGCCCATGTAGTGAGCACGTTTTCCATTGTTCAAAGGGGGAGGCTAGTCTAAATTCATGATCATGGAGCAATTTAATTAAAGACAACAGATAAATCTCCAGTATCTGACTTTGCTTTCCTTACTCCGTCTGCGCAATTGATCACACTAATAGAAAATACAGCATTGTTTTGTCTAGAACAAAGAATTATGGGCTATATCCTTCCTGTTGAAGAAAGTGGATACACTCCCCATTCTCCCCCTGCCTCCAGCCCCCTCAACACATGCAGCCCTTCTGCGGTCAACCATGTAGCTCCTTCCTAAATACCCAGGCAGATGCAAAAGAGCTTTTAAGGTCTGTTGTTCCATTTCGGACTCGGCAAAATATGTCAGACCTTCTTAACTGGTTAAGAGACAGAAGCATAATTTTCACATCAAGTGTCTCGTGTACCTTTTCATACACAAATCCCAACATCAGAGTCTCTGTCTAGTACTTTATTGTGGTTTATTTAAACGACATTAAAAGTAAAGAAAAACATATACAAAATGTTAATGGGAGAAAAAACAAGCCATTTAGCAGAACCACCTTCATCCTTATAACAATAGAACCCTAAACCCAATAATTCTAAAACTGGACCCACAAATGCTTTGTGAAAATGATTTGGATGGGTTTTTCAAATAGATCGAAGAAGATACTCAGAAGAATGCAAGATTGAGAGAGGAGACTTGAGTCAGAAAGATGGGGTGCTGAGTCTGGGGGACAGAGTGCTCGGCTTCTTTTGGTGAGTTCTTAGAGCAGAAAAAGCTGAACAATGTTTGTTAAGTCACTGGCAGGGTACTTGGGACGTGATGGGGCCATGATCCATTAAAGGTGAGACTATCTCAGGCTCTTGGCTCAATCTGGCTAGATGAAACATTTAGGAAGCATGCGTGGCCCTGGCTTTCCTCTCTCCCCAGGCTGTTGTTTTTAGCTAAATATTCTTCTCACCAGGAAATATCTGGTCAGCATTTGTACTCTTCCTATAGCCTTGCACTTAGGCTAGTAGCTTACAGAGCAATGGAAAAGATGTCGTTCATTCATACACTTGAAACTCTGAATTATGGGTGGAGTCAAGTGACCAGGAGCTCTGAAAAACCTTGCTATAAATGCCTATACCATGTGTGTGTGGCTGTGGCCTGTAGCCATACAGTTACCGTAGTTCCAGCATATCTACCTCTCACCATCTGCTGAGAAATCCAGAGAAAGGCAGTAATGGTGCGGTTAACCTTAAGGTAAAAACCACTGTCATGTCAGGCTCTGCATACTACACTGCTATGCAGCTATTATATGGCTCTGTTCCAGCACTACTCAAAAGGACTCAATAGAATTGAACTGGTTCAAGGTGTGACCTACAACACAGCACCTAATATGCCATGTGATGACAGATCTAAAGGTCCAATACATACAGCAGCCATATTTATTATCATTTATTAAATATTATTTATTAAATGTGTATACCGAACCATAGATTGCAGAGTGGTTCACAACATAAAAATGCAAGATAAAGAAACACAAAAATACATAATAAAAACAAGAGCAAGGACTAAACAAACCAATAGACCCCTCCCCCAAACACATTTAAAAGGGTAAAAGGATGTTCATCAGCCAAAGGGCTGGTTAAAGAGGAACCTTTTCACCTGGCACCTGAAAGTGTATAATGAAGGCGCCAGCGGAACCTCCTTGGGGAGAGCATTCCACAAATGGGGAGCCACTGCAGAAAAGGCCCATTCCCCTGTTGCCACCCTCCAGACCTCTCGTGGAGGAGGTACACGAAGAAGGGCCTCAGATGATGATCTCAGGGTCTGGGTGGGTTCATACGAAGAGACTTGCTGAAAGTAAATGGCTGGGTTTTGGAACACATCTTGCCTACGGATGAACTGCTCATTGTGCACTGATATCAAAACAGAAGCGGGAGTGTGGACAGGAAACCTTGTATTGCTGGAAGAGAAGGGAAAGCCAAACACAAAACAAAAAGTGAAATATTGGTTCCGTTGCTGTCTCCCATCCTGTCTCCAAAAGGCGACTGCAACCTGTCAATGCAAACAGAGATGTAGCAGGTATTTAGCAATGGCATCATCCTTAGGAAAAGGAAATCATCCACATTAAGGAGCATACATTAAGCTTCATTTGTATTTTCTTCCTTCCTTTCTTTTTCATATTGGCAAGTTACATTTGGATGGACATTCTACACAAGGAAGTGAGAGGAAAGCTGAAATGTCTCCATGATAACTTCATTTGCTATCCATAATACCCATGTTCAATGAGCTCAACCATTAGACAAGAAAAGTGCTACAGTGATAATTAAACATGCTTCACCTACCATTTCTATTCTCCCCTTTTCCTCATTTGCTCTTCAAAGAAATCATTGCATGCAACAGTCAAGGCAGCAACCAGAACCACAAATTCGTTAAAATCCACTTCATTGTCTTTATTGCTGTCAAGATCTTGCATAATCTTATCAACCAACTGGGGATCCTTTTGACACTATAAAGGCAAAAACAGATAGATAGATGATAGATAGATATGTACATTTCAATATTGGTTAGAGAATCTTCTGAGATGTGCGTTAAATTACATTAGAGATTTCTTTTTATTTCCTTGAGGGCATGTGCATACACTGTCCTTAACCCTCAGGGAACTTCTTATATGTACTATGATATTTACCAGTGTCTGCAGCAGGTATTTGTCTCAAGACAGAGGTGCCTCAACTTTGAACAACATAATATTTATTTCTAATAGTGTAGATGGTTTACTTTATTAATAAGCTAAATGTCAATGTTTTCCCACTAGGGCCATCATCCAATTGTATTGTCTTAGTAGATCAAGTATCTGAATTTTAGACAACAAACTGGTTATATCACCATATAAATAAAGCTATAACCCCAAAGAAGAAAGGATCTTGCACACATGTTGCAAGCAAAGAACACAGAGAGGTGTTCTCTCATGTAAGAGGGAGAAGAAGGAATTGATCCTTGAAGATGGTAATCCTATATATGTATACTCAGAACTAAATCCCATAGAGTTCAATGAAGCTTACTCCCAAGGCAAGTGGGTATAGGATTGCAACCCAAGTTTTGTTAGTCAGTTCCCCAAACTCAAAATATTGTAGTAATTTCCAGTATCTGTATCCCAATTAATCTAAACCTAGAATTTACCCTAATTACCACCAGCTGTATAGATAACCGCTCTGCGACCCTATGTATCTTGCATTCTAGATTTATATGAACTTCTGTGTACTAGTGAAATTATTTCAAGGGCATTTTCACATGTGAGGCTTTCAGCTTCTTGCATGCTAATGATAATGGTTGTTTGTGTTGAAGACGAATTTGCAACGTGAATTAGCATTGTGGCTCCTACAGTTTTTAAAAATCATCATTACAAACCAGACAGAGGCAAAAGCTGCTTTAATCCTAATGTGTGAAATATGCTCTACAAACCAGGACTAAATTAGGAGCACTGGAAGCTAACATGTGGACTCAACCTAAACCAGATATAATCCACTATTTCTGCTTAATCTTCAAAAGTCTGAAGCACATCTAGTTAGTGCTTGCTGATGACTCTGGGGACTGGGTCACTACAAACAGAGATATTTTATTAAGATGGAATGCAGGACAGAGAGAATCCAATCCGAGAAAATTGATGACAGGTTCCTTTTTTTATTTCTTCCCCTTTTTGCAGAGCTGCCAGTTTTTAAGACTATGAGATTTCTTAGGATTAATAGACTACAGGATGCCACTTATATATCAGATCTTTCTTTTTTTAACACAAGAACTTCAGCGGCGTTATAAATTAGGAACAAAATAGAGGAACACAAATCACATCAGGACTGATAATGTGTCCTGTAGCGAGAGCTCTTCTCAGCCACCTCTCTGCTCAGGATAGATAGGAAGCTATATTTAGAGTCCACAGGAGTTTCCAATCAACCTATGAATAAAACTGCATGTGGCTTCAGGCCCGAAGAAGCACTTAAAAAGCAAGAAAATTTCCAGACATAGACCAAAGTTCATCTGCATACACTTTGATATACATACTCTTTGATCTACATATTCTATCTTTCTGCCCATCTGCCCACCTTACTAGCATGGTCAACAGCTATACCACCAGAAAGGTGGAGGAGAAGATAGCAAGCTATGATTGAGATATCTTTAAACCAGGGGTGAGTAACCACCAGGCCTCTCCATCTAATTCTTGGGGCTCTCCCCAGCAGCACAGCTCACCTGTCCTTATCTGCTCTCTCCTTGAGTGCTTTTCCAAGTTGGAATCTCACCCTTTAACTGTGATATGTAGCCTACTTTATAAAGGTAAGCGTCACATCCATTGATCTGCCTACTTCACACCTCTCCCCACAATGGTATTCAGCTCCCAAAAGGTTGCACAGCCTCTGCTGTAAACTTTTGCCTAGGTATTATCACTTATTAAAATACCCTAAATGCCTCTTCTTTCTAATAATTTGCCTAAGGGAATATTATTACTTTGCTCTGGGGAGACATCAGTACCTTTGAGACATTGGCAGCCATTACACGGCCCTCCAGCTGTTTTGGGACTACAACTCCCATCATCCCTAGCTAACAGGACCAGTGGTCAGGGATGATGGGAGTTGTAGTCCCAAAACAGCTGGAGGGCGAGTTTGCCTATGCCTGCATTACCCTAATCCCCACCCTCATATCAGACCTATTCGCATGCTTCTCAACCATTGCATTACTTACTAAGGAATGGGGCAAATAACGTTATGCTTGACATGGCCACAGCTGAATAGGTCTGAAGGGAAGAGGGAAAGGACTGGAAGAGTCAGGGATGAGGTTGCCTTGAGGCAGTTGGGGATAGCACCCTGTGGCTATGATTCAGCTACACAGATGGTGCAGAGAGAGCCTATGAGGCTGACAGAGCGAGTAAGACTGTGTATAGAAAAGAACATTTCCCCCTCAAAACCCCAGACAGTAATCTGCCTTCACGGAGATACAGTTCCAATCACCATTCAACTACAGTTCCCAGGATTCTTTGGGGGAGGGTAATGCATGTGAAATGTGCTTTAAATATATGGTGTATATGCAGTCGAAGAAGGAACCAAGAGAAAGGAAAGTAAGTAAAAAAACCTCATCACCCACCAGTTTTCCCATACCTATTTGTACATTGCACATGGTATGAGTCACATACAGCTAACGGACCACATTAAAACCATTCCCAAAGAGAACCTATGGCCACCACTGAAGAAAATAGAATCTCTATCTCACAACCCCAACCCAACTTCCTTCTGTCCCAGCTTTAGCCTAGTGAATAAGGTACAGCCACCCCTTGCTGTTTGCAGTATTCTGACACCAGAGGTTTACTGCCTCTGAACAATGTAGTACAATTAATACACTGGCCAAGATGGCTGAACTGGAATGCTTGGATTTAAAGAAGAGTACAGCTATTGTGGGCATAACAGAAATCCTGGTAAAAGAGGAGAAAGCCAGTGGCACGAGGTTACGTATCTTTGGATACAAACTCTATAGGAAGGGCAGGATGAAGCAGAGGAGTTGTTCTGTACGTCAAAGAGAACATTTAAGCTTTCTGCTCTAATTTGTATGTTGCGCTGGATTCTTTCCTATATTGCATTTTTGTGGTTTTATTGTAAGCTGCTATGAGCCGCAGCTGAAGACTGGCCAGTAAAAAAAAGAAAAAGGAAAAGAAAATAAATAAATAAAACAAATCAGATGATTCACTTCTGCAGCACTTTTGTGAGCCTTCCGGATTCTTAGACTAGATAGGTAGTTGGTTCTAAATAACACAACACTTGAAATATTCTTAAACTCTTAAGCAAAAACATAGCAGCTGAGAATTAGTTTTGCTTTTTTCCCATGAAGAACACTTGAGTGTGTGCACTTGTGTCATTAATTCAGTACTGAAGCTGTGTTCTGTGGAACACAGTTTTTCTACTTTGAAAAGGAACACCACCTCTTCCCCAGTGAATGAATAAAATCAGCTCCCCATTCATTTAGATATTACATTTGCTATGAGGATCAACATGACTACTGTGCATCTCCTACCTTTTCAGTCCCGTTACTCGTCTATACCATATAAACTGGGGCCATCATGTACCAAGTTCGTCCACCACTGATCCATGTCAGTGGGGGCAGGGAAGCTCACAATGCACAAGCTGAGTTCTACCATATTGGTTGTAATGCCTAGACAAGATACAGTGGTGCCTCGCAAGACGAAATTAATTCGTTCCGCGAGTTTTGTCGTCTTGCGATTTTTTTCGTCTTGCGAAGCACAGTGTCGGAAAAGTTTTGGAAAAGCTTCAAAAATCACCAAAGTCTTCAAAAACCTCAAAAAAGGCTACCACACCGCGTGCTATGAGTTGCTCCTCGAAGTCAAGTCGCAACTGTATTAACAGTGTTAAGAAAAAGGAAACAAACTTGCAAGATGTTTCCGTCTTGCGAAGCAAGCTCATAGGGAAAATCGTCTTGTGAAGCAGCTCAAAAAACAAAAAACCCTTTCGTCTTGCGGGTTTTCCGTCTTGCGAGGCATTCGTCTTGCGAGGTACCACTGTATTCAGCTGACCTATGGCATGAGATTTCCCCACAGCCAGCCCGCAACTTTTATAAGTTAACTGGGATTTGAACCCAAGACTTTCACATCCATATCGAAACTTAACATTATAGCTGACTATTTGGATAAAGCTTTCTAATAATAACATAATCAAGGGTCCTAAGTACTTGGTCACCAGAGCACATTTCCTTGGATGTGGCAAAATATAGCAACTATTTTTGCACACAGTACAGCTGCTGTTGCAGAAAAGACTTAATTGCATGTCTGGGTGAACAAATGGCATATGAAATACTTGTCAAGGATCCTCCAGTAGCTCTCCCCCCTCCCCATGTCCAGCAAGCAGTCAGTGAAAAAAGGATTTAACCATGACTCTGTCTTACCGAAAGGAAGTCAGTAAGTTCGCTGGTGAGGAGCTCCTTGAGTTCTCCTTTATTGAGTTTATATTTGTCCCCTTCTTTTCCTGAGTAATGGTGAAAGACCTTGATTAAGGTGTCCATCGCACCTTCCAGCAGTGTTGGCATACTACAAAGGGAGATAAAGGGAAGACTTATAGCAACCTTGCATGAACCTTCTAAAACGTAAGCATTTCTGTATATGCACAGAGATAAACACAGTTGCCCAGAAAGTCAATACAGGATTCAGAGCTTCTGTGATACTAAATATTTGTCATCTGACCAGCTGCACAAACTTGTTTATGATGCTAATTTAGGAGAGCACTTTTACAAATGAATCCAGGAAGAAATGTATTGAGCTCATTGGGTGTGCAGTCATCTCTAAGTGGCCACACGTTTTCCTGAAAGGGAAAAGAAGCAAAATACATCTAACAAGGCAAAATTTAAGCATTTCTTCCTACCTGTTCTGAAGTGGTCCCAAATAAAGTATTGTCTCCAGCAGGTACAGACTGTAGTCAACTCTATTCTGAGGGTTCCACCCTAGCTTACCAAATTCCCCTGGGGTTTCTAGAGGGAAATCACCAATGATAAAATGTCTCCCCCTTCCTGGGTTTCACTTTATTTGTGACTGCCTGTTATGCATCAACAGGTGTAGGTATCTTTCCCCAGGTGGCTTTCTTGAGGCTGGCTGGCTTCCCTGAGCATTCAATAAGGAGCTAGGAGTATAAAAGCGGCAACTTCATTAAAACACGGAGGATGGAAATCCAATTAGTTGCTAGGAAGCCAACCACTGGGAATACCACAAATACAGAACAAGAAGATGCAGCGCTTTGCCTTATGATTTATTTCATTTATATCCCATCCTTCCCCTAAGGAGCTAAGGGAAGTATACATTTCCTACCCCCTATTCCCCCATTTCATCCTTGCAATGACCCTGTGAGAGAATGAAGGCTGAGAAATAGGGATTGGTCCAAGATCATTCAATGAGCTTTATGACTGAGGGGGGGGGGGGTTTGAACCTGTCTCCTCCCAGTGCTACTCCAACATACTAATCATTACACTAACCTTCCCCTGGTACCCTTGGGGTGTTTTGGACTACAGTTCCCATCAGTCCCAGTGAGCCAGCACAGCCAATCCAAACTGAGGACAAAGGGAGTTGTAGACCAAAACATTTGGAGGGCACCAGGTGAAGGAAGGCTGCCTCTGATTTCATAAGGTATTGATCTAAGTTCAATCCAGTGTGAGACTGGATTGTCATGCTTCAGAAGTTAAAACCGAACCTTCGGCATATAATTTCCAAACTCAAAAGAGTACTGGAGATGCAAAGGCATTCAAAGCACAGGTGATGGCACTAAAAGATAGCCCTCTTCATGAAAGAATGGCAGGAAAATTCACTTAGAAAACACTGTAGCAAAAGCAATCACTCCACTAGAAGTAGGAGCGGAAGGGTCCATCAATTTTGATTTCCCAACTTCTCATTTTTTCCTATCTAAAATTTGGTTCTTCACATTTCTACAGCAATTAATTCCCCCCCCTAATCCTCACAAAATAATTTTGGCATTTGAGTACAAATTTCTAACAAACACATTTTTTAAAGTAATTTTTCTTAACATAATGCCTTTTTATATGTCATCTTCAAGAATTTATTCATATTTATGCACACTTTTACCCTAATATGTGCATTTTTGTAAACTTTGTTTAGTTGGAGAACTGCATCACAAAATTTCAAAAGATGGCTGTGTGTCAGTTCTCATATTGCTTTGAAAAATGCAAATTCTGTAGATTCAACTTTTACATGCGATCTGAATCGAATTTCTTCTCAATCCCTACTAAGAAGTAAATACAGCAAATTGTATTTCCACTAATTGGCACTTAGGGCTATGATTCAGAAAACATGAAGTCGTCCTCCCTAAGGAGGTGATGAGGTTGCTCTGGAAGGTGTAAGATCTTTCCTACCTGTGCTACGTTTTTGGGCGTGTCTAGGGTTGCTTCACATGAAGTGAGATGTTTGCATTGAGGGGATGGGTGGAGGTGGAAAAAAGAGCATGGGTCCCAAGGAAATACGTAATGGGGAATGTCACTCCTCAGCAATGGCCCTGTTACCCAAGGGTATTTGTTGTTGGGGTTCTGCCCCCTGCCACAGATTTTTGGCTCTGAGCATTTCCCCAGTAAGCCTGGTTTCATTTCTTGGGAGTCGGTGGAACTAGCAGGTTTATGTTAGGGACAGCCAGACCACAGAGCCACTCAATAACTTGGAGACATCTTGAGATGCCTTGTGAATGGTGCAATCCGACTAGGAAGCAGGAGGACTTTACCTGAATCACAGAAGTTCATCCCTTAATTCAGGAACAAACAGAGCCAATCCACACTTCTATTACAGGGTTCAGAGATAATCATTGGTGGAAATTTTTTGTGCATTATAAGTCAAAATTTTATTTGGAGTGTGGCTCCCCCTTGTGTGCTGAAATGGAGTTGTATGCTGATTACTTTAGATTTAACTGGCACAGTTACTGGTAAGTGTTTTCTGTGCTATCTTCCTAGAGAAGCAAACACATAGAAGTGGAATCTGCCTACCTAAAAAACCCTTAAACAGCTAGCTAAGTCCTCTAAGCTGTGAGGATAGCAAAATCAACAAAAAATATCCAGGGAAATAATAGTTAAGCCTTGTGCACCTCTGATCCCTGCAACTTATTTGGGACAGCTAGAAGAATAACCTTAATCACCAGCTGCCTCTAGAAATAAAACACTTCCAAAGAACCTCATGTGTGTGGTACTCAGTGGGGCCACATGCACACACCTCCCCACTCAATATCCAGTTTGGAGGAGTGGGTAAGAGCTACCTTGGTTACCTCTGGCCATCACTTGCAGCAGATGTGTACCTAGGTGTTTGCAAGGTTGGTCCTTGCAAGAGCACAGGTGCAGCGGGTGCAAAAATTGTGCCTCTCCACTCTGGCTTGGAGTGGCTAGAAGCCTGCCCTTCGCTCCCCAGGCCGTTCCTCCACTGCTCTAGGTGACTGGGTGAAGTGCACAGGCCCCTCTGAGTGCCTCAGCAGAACTCCTTGCCAAGGGTACAAGGGACCCTAGGTACTTATACCTCTGCCTGGCAGATCCTCACAGGTGGGATGGATAGATAGATAGATGATAGATAGATAGATAGATAGATAGATAGATAGATAGATAGATAGATACCGGTAGGTAGGTAGGTAGGTAGGTAGGTAGGTAGGTAGATACCGGTAGATAGCTAGATACCGGTAGATGATAGATAGATAGATAGATAGATGATAGATAGATAGATGATAGATAGATAGATGATAGATAGATGATAGATACTGTAGATGATAGATAGAGAGATAGAGAGATAGAGAGATAGAGAGATATAGATATAGATAGATAGATAGATAGATAGATAGATAGATGATATAGATGATAGATAGATAGATACATGATAGATAGATGATAGAGTGTCTCTGTCCTTTGAAGCCTTGATGTCACTCTCCACTCATGTGCCATCTGAGGCAGCTGCCTCACTCTAATGGTAGGGCCAGCCCCAGTTGCAAATGAGGAGAAGCAGCAACAACAGGAAGCCAGGTACAGATCAGCAACAAAATAAGTTTCTATGAAACATGCTGTTATAGGTTTTGGCCTTGCTTTCTGTCCAGTTATATTTTAGCACTTTTAAAGGAGATTTTGATTCAAGTTCTAGTTTGACCATGGGTAGTCAAACTATGCCTCAAGCAGTGGAAACTTTTGACATTTGAAAGTGAAGGTTCATGGACCTAGTTAAGGCACACAAGCAAAATGTATTATCTTGGTTTGTTTTGAAATTGTTTTAGGCCTGTGGCCCTCCAGAGGCCATGGTACTCCAACTCCCGTCAGGCTCAGCCAGCCTGGCCAATACTAAAGGATGTTGGGAGTTGCAGACCAATGACATCTGATTGTTTGCAGGTTCCCTATCTCTGTTTTATGCTTATACCAGCCCGAAATGTGATTCATTCATTCATTCATTCATTCAAAAACATTTATAAGCTGCTTAGTAGTTTAAAAATCTCCAAGCCGTGTACAATATAAAACAAACAGTAATAGTAAAACAAAATACCACGTAAAACCAGAGAGCCGGATGTGAGAGCAGGATGTTAGATGGGCCATTGGTCTGGTCCAGCAGGTCCTTGCTTTGTTCTTATCTGTTCTGGTGCCCTCCAGATGTCCTTGAACACCCCCTCCAGTCAACCCCAGCTATCATGGCCAATGGTCAGTAGTGTAGTCTACTCCGCCTAGGCCAGAAGTCAGGAGTCAGTGAGAAGCAAGAGCTGGTCAGAACCCAGCAAGCAGAATTCCTTTGAAAGAAAAGGAGGAGGAGGAGATAAGCAGGGGTTCTGGCTAAGGGCTGAACAAGCAGGGGCATAGCATGGGGAGGGCCGTGGCCCCAGGTGTATGATTTTGAGCGGGTGCAAGCCAGGTGCAGGGATCCCCATCCTGCCTGCCATTGGGGATTTCTGGGCCCCGGAGCCCAGCCTGGCCTTGCTGCTGCACACCTGGCCCCCTTGCTGAATGTCTGCCCAGCCAGCATTGGGGGGATGCATCCGCCAAGGGCTGCATCTGTCGGCCGACCGACCAGGCTCCCCACTTCGTGGGCAGGCAGGCAGGTGGCAAAGTGCGGCCCCGTGAACCATCCGTGCTCTGTGCCTGTGGCAGGGAGGGTTGGGCTGGAACAGTGGGTTTGGTTCAGCCTTCAAGCTCATCCTCTGGTCTTGCCTGGTGCATGCGTGTGTGTAAGCCGGGCGCCAGCAAAGGGCACAACGCAACTGTGAACAAGTCACAGCTCACATCTCAACAAAGAGGGATGGGTGAAAGGGATCCTAAGGACACAAGTTCATAGCTCAGGTGTAGTGAGAATCATCATATATTGAGAACTAAGAAGCAATATTTAAATCTAAGAAAGATATTTGCCTAAATCTTTAAATTAGCTAAGGATCGGAAGACCTTTTATAAAGGACCTTTAATATGAGCTATAACCAGAAGAGGGAGCTCTTATGACATATAGAATACACTATATCTATTCTAATGTATGAGGGCTTACCTGCACAATCTCAAAATTCGGCTACTAATTTGTTCCTGTATTTTGGAGATGTGAACCACAT